TTTTTTTTTTCGAATGTCCCAGCCATTCTCTTTTTCGTGGCCTTGATGACCAATTCCCGTTTAATGATCAACCTGGAAAAGCTCTGGTTTGTGTGCATTAGAAAAGGCCATTTTTCTGTTACTGGTGCTCGAATGAAAACGCAGAAAATAATATAATATAAGCGATTAAATTTGATTTTCCTCTCAAATGAAATCTGAAATCAGAAAAATTGAATATGTTGTGGCATGAATTTCAAGTGTTCGGGGACGTAGTGAAATGGAAATGCCGTTTCAAATCAAACCTATTGAATTTTTTCGTTGCGTTGAAAAAAAAGTATTCTTGAGCAACGTTTCGGAGATACAAGTATTCCGGAATCATTACATTAACTGAACAAAATCTAATGTTGATGCGTCAGAAGAAGTGAAACCGAACAAGGGAATGCTGGTGAATAGAACAGGCCATCTTATTCCTTATCTAGAAGGAAGATTCTTACGAGCTGCTTTTTTGTGAACAATGAAACTTCTCGGCAGAATTGCGTTCCCAACCCAATTCTTCACATTTTCTGTTGTTTTTTTTAAACTTTGGATGTTCAAGTTGGGGAAGAAAGCTAGTTTCGTTGTTTTCATTCATTTTTTTTCTCCGTTGTTCATCATTCCGAATTTGATTTTCTTGTGTAGAACCTGCATTGCGTGTTGGACGTTAGCTTGCAGTCCGTCGGCCAATTGCAAACCCGTGGGCTGCCCGCGATTGTGCTGTTCATCAAATTCAAGTCGATCAAGCAGATCCGTGAAGTGAAGGATACGCGTTTGGGAGAGAAGATATCCGCGAAAGTTGCCAAAGAAATGTTTGAGCATGCCCAGAAGATTCAGTCGGAGTTCAGTCACGCGATTTCCGGTGAGTTAGGGTATTTCATCGCTTGTGGGGGAAATTTTTGGTTTCTGAGCAACCCCTCAAGTGTACAGGAAATTAATTTCAAGTTATGGTACATTTTCAGACGTGTCATTGCTAGAGTTGATTAGTTTCGTTATTCCTTGCAAGTCTTTCACGTCCCTTGTTGAGAAAATGGATGGGAACGTTATTTCACAAATCGAAATTTTTTCTTGTACTAAGAACCACTGTGCTAATTTTTGCACTCTCGGGTGACATTCCGAGAAGACGGAGTGCTGAAAAAGTACTTACCCATTCCTATGTAAGTACAGTACAGTACCTGATTTTGAAACAATGCTCAACACTATCAAGATTTTCAGAAATATTTTGTCATTTCGGAAAAAAATGCTGACAGACGCATTTTCCGGAGAAACATGGAATTTTAAAGACTTCAACAGCTTAATCTTCATATATTCGATTTTTAAGAACAGGGTTTACTGACTTGAGAAGAAATGATTAGCAGCCCACTTTCGTAGTGCGAAAAGTCTCATGTCTGACCATTGTATATATTTAGTAGATCGGCGTACGGTAACAGCGCTATTTTTTCTGTGTGCTAAAATTAATTGACATTGATTGTTGCAGCTGTGGTGCACGCTGCAGTGAACCTGTCTTATATCTGCACCCAAGTTGCTGGCTGCGTGGAGCAAGAGCAAA